TTGAAACTAACAGTTTTTGTAAAACCATTTACAAAAAAAAATATCTCGACACAACTTTATAATGTGTTAATGAGGTAGATGTCTAATTTGAAGGAATACGACCTAAATCTATTTCATAAGTGAATCATAATAAATAAGTAGACTAGAAATATGGAGAGAAAACATTTCATGTATCTCATTGAGTATATTTTCTGGTTTAGTTGAATTTGAATCAGGCAGTTTAATTGTCTAAGATTAAAACATAAACAATCTAGTTCATGTTTTTTGTTTTGTTTTAGTATCTAATATTTTTGTAGACTAGTCATTTAAATCATAACTAATTCATTCGTGTGTTTTAGTTCGAACAAAATTCACGAATTTAGTATACATCGAATGGTTTAAAGAATCAGTTCCAAAACATGCCTTCACGATGTGGGTTTCACAGGTGACATGTTGCTTACAAGATCAAGGCTTGCGTCTTTGGGACTTCAAATTACAGCAAACTGTGTACCACGTTATTGGAATCAAGAGATAATTTCCACTTAACATGCGAATACATTATACATCTCAAAATATTTGGTTCTTAACTCTGACAAGATTGATCGAAATTCAACTATTGTTCCATGCTTAGACAGGCTTTATTAATGAATTATGCAAGAGCCCTAACTATCCTCATAAAGCTAATTAATGGTTCAAGCAACTGTGTTTCACATATAAAAGCAGAAGAACAAATGTTCTTCACAACCAACAATCGATCCCTTCGTCGGCCATCTTCAAGTCCATATCGACCAAAAAATTTATAATACACTATTATCAAGGAGACATATAACTCCCAATGGTCTTTTATATTATATCATACTAGAATATGCAAACAACATGCATATATTATATACATCATTCACAATTAATGGTCATGAGTGTTACATAGAAAAACCATAACCTATAGCATTAAGATCACTAAAAAAACAAATGATATCAGTTTGCTTAGCCGTGGATGATTTTTACTAGCTTTACTTCCCGAAAACATCTTTCAATAGAATGAGAATTCGTGACAAGTATGATATTTTCGCTAAAAATGACTTCTTTTCTTTTCAAAGAAATAATACAACTATAAATGAAATATTAACTACCTATATGTGATTTCTTCAATAAAAAACCTTTTCTCAAAAAAAACTACCTATGGTTTCAAGTTACAGTTTTCTCCCTATACTAGCTGTTAGTGATGCATGATGCTTGATGGATTTCAACGAATATGGAGTACAATGATGGTTCGACGACACATAATCCAATTTAAAATTCATAGAATGCTCTTCAAATATATGGTGTGCAATTGATTTTAGTTTGTCAATCAGCAAGAATGTAATGTAATCAAAATTTATGATAATTGTAACTTTAAATATACATATTTTATTTAATTAAAAAATCGATAATATTCAAAAATCCGGTTCAACCGGTTGGACAAAGTCAGACCAACTATCCAAATATTGGTTCACTTTTCAAAACCAATATTTTTGTGTTCCTAAAACGACGTCGTAACACTAACACTATCCATTAACGAAAAGCTAATGCAAAGAGGATCTAAACAAACTTCCTTTCACCATTTTTTTTGTTTCAAAGCTAAATGGAAAACGTATCACTGCTTGAAGAAGATCATCTATGGAAGGAATACAAAGCGAAATCGAAACTCAGTGAGAGTTCAAACTCTACAGTTTGGTCGGCGAAGCACCGGTTAACCGGAGAAGAAGCAGTTTTGAAATGTTTCGATCTCTCAAAGCTCAATCTCAATCTCCGAAGCTGTTTAGAGAACGAAATCGAATTTCTATCTTCCGTTGATCATCCAAATATCATTCGTCTCCTCGAAGTAATCCATGTACGAATTCAATTTCAAAATCTTGGTCTGTTTCTAGTTTTATTCGAATTATGTGAAATTCGTGTGTTTTTTTTTTTCAGGATGGGGATTCTCTGGTTATGGTTATGGAATTTTGTAATGGAGGAAATTTATCATCATATATTCAACGTTATGGGAGAGTTGAAGAACATATTGTTAAGAGATTTATGAAGCAAATTGGTATTTTACTGTTTGTGATTGTTTTTAGGTAATGATTCTTGCTTGTTCTGGATAATAAAGTTGTTCATGTTTTGATGCAGGAGCTGGTTTAGAAATCATTCATGATAATCATATTATCCATAGGGACTTGAAACCTGAGGTACTGGTAGATTCATGAGAACATAGAAGCTTGAATTGATTTTTCGATATAGGTTGTGTGATTATAGTGTTTGATTGGAATTTGGAACAGAACATTTTACTCGCTGGATCGGGTGATGAATCGGTGTTGAAGATAGCTGATTTTAGTCTTTCAAGGTAAAAATATGCTTTGTGGAGTATTATTAGGATTTGAGGTATATTTGTAAGGTAAAAATATGCTTGGTGTCGAAAGCAGAAAACTACTTCCCGGGAAGTATCTCGAGACGGTATGTGGTTCTCCGTTTTATATGGCTCCTGAAGTTCTTCAGTTTCAGAGATACAATGAAAAGGTGACAGTGGTTTTATGAGATTATTATGCTGCTCTATTGATTCTCTGTTTGTTCAAAATGGTAAGGGTTTTTGCAATGGAAAACATTTCAGGCTGATATGTGGAGTGTAGGAGCAATCCTTTTCGAGCTTCTTCACGGGTATCCACCTTTCCGCGGTAGGAACAATGTTCAGGTAAGATCTTTGAGTTTGATCCAAAAAGCTCTCATTGTCATACACTAAACCCCTTTTCCACTAACTATAGGTTCTAAGAAACATCAAATCTAGTACATCTCTTCCCTTCTCTCGGTTAATTCTTCAAGAGTCGCATCCTGATTGCATCGAGGTTTGTTCGAAGTTGCTTTGTATTAATCCAGGTACAGAAAAAATATCTCATCCATTCGCGGTTTCATGGTATCGATATATATTCAGTTCTTGTTCACTATATTTTGCAGTTACACGTCTCTCTTTCGATGAATTCTACAAACACAAGTTCTTAAGGATTTGATTGTGTCTCCATGAGAGAGTCTCTCAACTTTTCTTGAATTGTTTAGAGAGGATTGATTTTCTTCTGTAAATAATTTTAAAGAATCTTTTATTGTCACACAAGTCCAAAACCAAAGATCATAACCCAAAGGGCCTTTTTTAAGAAGCCTATGAAACATAAACCCAAAGATTCGAGAGATTAAGAAAAGAGAAGAAAAAAGGAGTCTCCTTTTTCGCCGGCGAAAGAAAAATGGCTCCGATGAAGAAAGGAAAGAAGGTTAATTCGGATGTATCAACGACGGCGAAACACATAGCCGGTGATACTTCGAGTTATCCGTCGTGTTTGCGACTTGTTTCACCTTCCTCTGTCGCCATCACCATTCACGCGAAGCCTGGTTCCAAATCCGCTTCCATTACCGGTAATTCTGCTTTGTTCATTCCTCTTTTGTGTTAATAGCGGTTTGATTTTTCTACAAAGTCTCGGTTTTTTGTACTGATTTGGGTTTCTCTGTTTTGATCTGTAGATGTGAGCGACGAAGCTGTAGGTGTTCAGATCGATGCTCCGGCGAGAGATGGTGAGGCTAACGCGGCTCTTCTAGAGTACATGAGCTCTGTAA